TTTGGTTCTTTTCCAGTAACCAATTGCAATGGGGAAAAAATATGATTTGCAGTAGGCCTTAGCCGAATTAAATTTGCAGCATGCAATACATCATGTCCCCAAACAGATGCACGTAAACAAGATTTCATCAATAATGGCCTAGCAATTAATTGTAATCGCTTTATTAAAGTCTCAACAAGACCATTTCGAGTGTGCACATGAGCAACTGAATGCTCCACATCAATCCCAATAGTCATGCAATAGTCATTAAATGATTGAGATGTAAATTCTCCTGCATTATCAAGTCGGATTTTCTTTATTGAATAATCCGGAAATTGAGCTCTCAAACGTATGATTTGAGCAAGGAGTTTTGCAAATGCAAAATTTCTTGTAGATAAAAGACTAACATGTGACCAACGTGTTGATGCGTCGATCAACACCATAAAATAACGAAATGGTCCACATGCTGGGGCAATTGGCCCACAAATATCTCCTTGAATTCTTTCTAAAAATGCAAGAGATTCAACTCCAATTTTATTTAGAGATGGCCTGACAATCATCTTTCCAAGAGAGCAGGCAACACATGGAAAATCAATTGATCTTGGAATCCTTATATTTTTCAATGGATGTCCAAGTGAATTTTGAATTATTTTGTGCATCATTACACTGCCAGGATGACCCAACATGCCACAAAATGATTGTTTTCTGATCATCTAATTTTTTATTAGAGATAACATTCACTTCAACGGGACTAATGTGAGTATAATATAGCCCCGAGGAATACGCTGGCATATTTTCACAAAGAATTTTATTGCCAGATTTGGTTGTCGTTAGACACAAGTATTCCTTTTGATTTTCTGTCATGGTTTCAATGTGAGAACCATTTTGACGCATATCTTTAAAGCTCAATAAATTCCTTCGGGATTTGTTGGAATATAATGCGTCTTTGATAATTAATTTTGTTCCTTGGGGAAGGATTAAACAAGCTATTCCAGACCCTTCAGTGAGCTTCACAACACCAGAGATTGTATTGACATTAGTTTCCATCAATGTCATTTGAGAAAAATATTCTTTGTTTCTCAAAATGGTGTGCGTTGTGGCATTGTCAATTAGGTGCTGTTTGTTTTTTCTGCAGAAAAAGGTCTGCAGTCTGCAGACCACATCTGCACACATCTGCAGGAGAAGAGGTGGACCAAAGGTCTGCAGTCTGCAAGAGGAAGACTGTTTGTTTTTTAACTTCTGCAGATTGTTTAAATAAACAGAAATTTAAAATAAATAGATTTTTAAAGCAATCAATATTTTTAAACATTCAAATTTAAATAAGAGTTCTACAACACTGAAATAACAACAATAGCATTTTTTAAAATAACAATAATAACAATATTTCAAATAATTTATTCCGCACTTTGCATTAAGTGCTCGGTAATTTCATCTCATAACTTGATCATATATTCACGATCCGCTGCAGTACCGTGTACTTCAACCTCTTCTTCATCAACATCAACGTGCCCACGGCGATTTCCTAATGACACGTTTAGTTGATCATATTTTGTAAAGAAGTCATCGCTTAAGCCCTCTTTCCTTATAAAATTATGTAGCGCGAAACATGCAATGGCAATGTTCCTTTGTGTAACCAACGGAAATGGTGCCATCCTCTTCAATATAGGGAATTGGGCTTTCAAAACACCAAAAGCACGCTCAATAACGTTTCGAAGTTTTGCATGTGCGTGGTTAAATTTCTCTTTATTGGTCAATGCACGTCTCCGACGAAAATCTCCAAGCCAATACCTCACATTACGATATGGAGCCATAAATCCTCGTGTATGTCCATACGCGGCATCACAAAGATAATACTTATCTGTACAGAAATATAATCAATTAAGGTATTGAAGTACGATAGACATATTTAAAAAACCATAAACATACCTGGTGGTGGAATCGGGAATGGTGCATGTGGATCTGATAATGCCTCTGACAATATTCTAGCATCATGTGCTACCCCTTCCCAACCAGCCACAATGAACGTAAAAATCATGTTGAAATCACAAATTGCTAATACATTTTGATAACAATCCCCTTTCCCTCTTCCTCTATATAAATCTTGTTTACTACTAGGGACAACTGCGTGTATCAAAGTTCCATCTAGTGCACCAACCGCACCTTTAAAACCCGCCGTAGCCTCTTGTTTTGTCCTGGAATGTTTGGATTCGGATTGAATGAAGTCTGTACTATCATATCTTTGGCGAAAAGCATCATCTTATCCAAGACTTCATAAAAAAATTTATTAATTGTTTGCTTTGAGTGTTGAAATCTACGCTTGATAACCACATAACGTTGATTATGACCGATTATCATAAAAAACATAGCCATCTTCTCCTCAACCGATACATGTTTACTATCCTTTAATGAATAATTCATTCTAAAATGTGCACATAGTCGGACAAAGGATTCACGAGACATACGTAGCAGTTCAGTGCATTGTTTGGGATTTCCTTGCAATAACTCTAACGTGTATTTATGTCCCGTCATTTCTGAATCGTTGTCCCGCAATCGTTTCAAACCTCTCTTCCAAAAAAAACGGACATACAAGTACATAAGAATAACGATAAATAATTTCTTATCGTAATCCATAATGATCCTGTATTAACAAAACATAAACAACCATTAAACAAAAACAACCATTAAACATAATCAAAATCATACAATGTTTTCAACATAACCAAAAGCATACAATGTTTCCAACATAACAAAAGCAAACAATGTTTCCAACATAACAAAAGCAAACAATGTTTCCAACATAACAAAAGCATACAATGTTTCCAACATAACAAAAGCAAACAATGTTTCCAACATAACAAAAGCAAACAATGTTTCCAACATAACAAAAGCAAACAATGTTTCCAACATAACAAAAGTAAACAATGTTTCCAACATAACAAAAGCAAACAATGTCTTCAACATAGCATAACAAAATGATGTTTTTCACTCCTTGATAAGTCTTAAACTTCTAGCCGTCATCGTGATCCACCCTTTTAATACTTCTGGAATTTCTGGCAATGCCATCCATGCCGCCCTCATGTCTGATGACACACCAAAAATATGGTAAGCAGCTAAAAATAATGGATCTATTGGGTTTAACCCAACCAATGTTAGCTTCTCTGAACACTCTACAACTGTTGGGCCTTCTTTGCCTTTAATCAAACACCGTATAGCTTCTTGCATATCACGTGCTAATTCATCCGAATTGATAGATGTTTTTGAAATTTTAGCCTTTTTCTTTGGATTAGGTTCGAAGTTATGCTAAGAAGTACGATCGGGATTAGGCTCAGGAGTAGGTTCACGAGTACTCTCAAAGGTCTGATGACCAGTGTCAGTAACATCATCTTCTATTTCATGCAAAACAGTGTCTTGTAGCAAAAGTAGTTTAGGACGACAATGAGAAGATGATGCATCCAGTGATGTTTGTTGGGTTGAGGTCCACTTGTGCATCCCAGTGGCAGCATTACCATCAAACAGTTCTGCACAAAGCTCTGGAAAAGGTAATGGAACTGTTTTCAAGGATCCAGCCTTTGGATGCCCCTAAACCCAAAGTAAAAACAATTATTGGTTTTGTTTATAGTTAAAAGTGAAAAAAGTATTCATAGGAACATACCTTTTTAAAATCTTCCCATTCCTCGTTTGTTAAGGTAAAAGTATTTGTTTGAGCATTGTATATGTTGCCAGTTTTGTTTTTCAAATACACCCATCCACTGTATTTGGCTTTCAGATTGTCATACGCATTTCTCATCTGTTTTTGACTCAAATCAAGCCCAAACCTTTCCTTGAGAACTCTTCCTAACTTATTCCACGACTCTTTGTGCAAACTCAACCCTTTTCTACCCAACGTGTTTACCTCTTCAATACAAGTCTCTAATAAGCATTTTATTTGCTCATTTGACCATTGTTGTTTTTCTCCCATTTCTGTTAATTAACAAACAAAGAGCAACAACATGAACTACTACAACAATCATTAGCAACAATTAACAACAAATCAGAACTACAACAACAATAATCAACAAGAATAATCAACAACATGAACTACTACAGCAATCTTTAGCAACAATTAACAAGAAATTGTTCACGATTATATAAAAAAATAAAAAAGATGTAAAAAATAGAATTCAAATCGTTGCCAGCAAGGATGAGATTTGTTAATATGCCTTGAATCTATATATATATGTACAACCAAAACACAGTCAAAATCCAGTGCCGATAATCACACTACTGGAGTTTCTCCATGAACAAGAATTGTACACAATCTCAAGAACAGTAGCTTGCTTTCATTTTTTAATTCCAAAACCCCAAATTCACATCTAACAATTCAAGAAACGAACAATAATCTAGTCATAAAAATGGGCACGGAACATTACCTTTGAGAGAACGATAAACAATTGAGCGGAATCCGACAAGATGGCTTACAACTCTGATTCGGGCACACAAACTTTGAATGAATCTGTAACAAAAAAAATGTAAAAAAATTGTTTAAAAAAAGAGATTAAAAAAACCAAAATAAGAGAAAAAAACTTACCTTTGAGAGGAGGAGGCGTCGCTGGAGGTATGAGGAGGAAGAGGCGTCGCTAGAGGTATGAGGAGGAGGAAGACGGACGGCGGACGAGGAGGGAGAGAGAAGTCGCCGGCGGAGGGAGAGAGAAGTTGCTGGTAGGGTAGGTTTTGAGATGGGGGCGGATGAGAAGTCGGATAGGTTTAATCGAGAAGGGAGAGATCGGAAGAATGAGAAGACGCGAGAAGCTAAGGTTTATGTCTGCGTGAGGAAGATGTTTGGAAGACGTTTTTAAGTGATTTGTCTTCTAAAAAACAAACAGTCTGCGCGTCCCAAATGTCTGCCCGCGTCTGCACGGCGCAGACATAAGTGGTTAGAAGCTCTTCACACCAAAAAACAAACACCCCCTTAGACATTGTTCTTTGCCACTGGAGCCATAAGCAGTTATCTCCATATCTTGAATACAAATAAATATATAAATAAATATAAGTTAAAGATAATTAACACAAATATCATACATTTTATTATCATTATTTTTTTAGAAGAGACATAATAATACAAGCACACATGAAAGTAAAATACAAATTTCCAACATTTATTTAAAAAGTAAACACACCATAACAGAGTAAATGAAAATGTTTAAATAGTAGTAGTTTCACCAAAGGTCACTTCATCACCAATTTCAACATCATCCATGTAGAAATCAGACACGTCAAATTTAGGCAAAATTGTATTGATATCATCAGCATAATTAGCTTCCACATTTTTCCCTTTTCCTTTTGTGGAAGCCTGGTATAATTTAACCAAATGTTTTGTCGTTCGACATTCATTCGCCCAGTGTCCTTTTATGCCACATTTGTAGCATTCACCACTTGGTTTTGGCTTTTCATAAGTTTTAGCCTGTGGTGGTTTGAATTTTCCTTTTCCTTTGGAGGATGATCCATTTGGATTTTTATAGCCCCTGTTCGGCCCTTTGTTGCGGTTATTTCCGCGTCCACGTTTAAAGTGTCCGCGAGCACCACCTTGAATAACATTTGATTCTGGTGCTGAACCACGATCAGGATGGCCAAAATTTGTAGGGCTACAACCGGTGGGCCTCATGTTATGATTTTTCATTAAGAGCTCATTATTCTGCTCAGCAACAAGTAATACTGAGATTAACTCAGAATACTTTTTAAAACCCCTTTCTCTCTATTGCTGCTGTAATATCACATTTGACATATGCATGGTGGAAAAAGTTTTCTCCAACATGTCATGGTCAGTGATATTATGTCCACATAATTTTAATGTGGACGTGACTTTAAAAATAGCAGAATTATAGTCACAAACAGATTTGAAATCTTGGAATCTTAAATTGATCCATTCATATTGAGCTCTTGGCAATATGACCTTTTGTTGATGTCCGTATCTCTCTTGGAGATTATCCCATAATTCCTTCGGATCTTCCACCAATAAATATTCAGATTTTAAACTTTCATGAAGGAGGTGACGAAGGAAAATTATGGCTTTTGCCTTTTGCTGAGATGATGATGTATTATTCTCAGCAATTGTATTTTCGAGGCCATTAGCCTTAAGGTGAGCAAGTGCATCAACCCTCCATTCCAGGTACCTTTGACTGGATAAATCAAGAATGTCAAATTCTCTTTTGGTGATGTTGGCCATGGAATAACTACAACATATTAAATTAAATTCATTAGTTTTTTTTTAAAATAATCATATTTTTTTTTGTGTGAGCAATGTCATGATAATATATAAACAAAATCAAAATGATTACAAGGAGACACATACAAAAATTAATGAAGAATATCAACATGTAACATGATAAGGTTTTTGATAATATACTCAACTCCCATATGCTCCGTGTGTTAGAAGACAAACACATAAATAAATGGTTATTGATAATATTCTCAATTCTCATATACTCCGTACGTGACTATTTTTTTTAAAATGATTTTATCACATTCATTATTAAGTACTATATTCATTTATTTTTTAAATTTATGTTTCAAATCAAAGGAACAAAAACTGTGTATGAAAATAGTGATAAGAAGAAACAAACAAAAAATATGTTGTACACCCATGTGAACAAAAAATAGGGCATCTTATCTCTAAGAATCAAGTTATATACGAATGTAATGCAATTATTTTTTAATTTCTTAAGAGGCTAGGTAATTTCTCTCTCTTAAATTTAGAATAGAGAAGAAAAAAAACAGATACTCCCCATACACTACTTTGCCAGTTTGCTTCTTTCTAAGTAAAGAAGAATTTTTCATTTATGTAGAATGAAACCAGAAGAGAGTAAGGACTAGGAAAAAACGAAGAACCTTGGTAAGTTCATCTACTTTTATATCTATGTTCTTTATTTTTTTTCTTATCTAAATTATTATTATTATTATTATTATTATTATTATTATTATTATTATTATTATTATTATTATTACACCTTAGCTTGCAGAATTCAAGAGTAGTTTAAAATTGAATTAAATTTTGTTTTTCAATTTTAGCTACTCTATATTAAGTTCTATTCTTTATTCTAGTTTATCAAAAATATGATTTTCTGGGATTGTGAGGAAACTTATTTCTTTTAATTTATCTAATTTTATTTTTATAACTATAAGTTTCTGATGTGAAGGATCCCAACTTTGGGCAATCACAGAGCATACTTCTCATAGTTTTTCAGAAAATATTTTAGTTTGTTTATGAAGAAAATAAAATAAATATACCTTCTGAGAAGAACAAGGATTCTGGGATTTTGAGCAAATTCGTGCTGATAACGTGTTGTAAAATGAGAGAAAAACTACTCAGAGATTATGAGAATAGATATAATATATTTCTGATTTCTTCTCTCTATTAACTCTTCACTCTTCTTCTTATTCTTAATGGTGATTACAATGCAGGGATTATGCCTCTATTTATAGTGGAGAGCCTTGGTATGGATACAAATACAAGTGGGAATTACTGTACATAATTGATACTCANATCAATGAGTGTCTTAATCTACTATTCTAGAAATTAGTTCTGATTAATTGAATAAATGAACAATCATTAATTTCATAACACACTTACCTTTTTTGTTTGTCTCAAAGAGAGAAGAAATAAACTTTAAAAGCGTCCAATAGAAAATTCAGTTTTTCATTAAATACGTTTGATCATTTCAAACAAAAAAAAGGTCCAGACATGTGGGAATTACTGTACATAATTGATACTCATCAATGAGTGTCTTAATCTACTATTCTAGAAATTAGTTCTGATTAATTGAATAAATGAACAATCATTAATTTCATAACACACTTACCTTTTTTGTTTGTCTCAAAGAGAGAAGAAATAAACTTTAAAAGCGTCCAATAGAAAATTCAGTTTTTCATTAAATACGTTTGATCATTTCAAACAAAAAAAAAGGTCCAGACATTAAGGTTGCGATGTTGCTGCCCAGGATCGAACTGGAGACCTTCAGTGTGTAAGACTGACGTGATAACCACTACACCACAGCAACCGTTGGCCGCCATTTGTTTTAACTACGCTTATTAACTATTTCTAAATTGGTTAATCAGATTGTAACATCCTCTGATTTACTAATTCAAGTTTTTGTCTCTTTTGGTTTCAATTTTTGTCTCTTTTTTTTTTCCTATATCACTTTTGTTTCAAACCACATGTATACTACAGAAATCAATGAGTTTATTGCACAAAAACACTTGTAGTTTTGCAAAATGTGCACCTATATCTCTCATACTTTCGAAACTTATATTATTTTGTCTCATATTGTACGAGAAGTGAATGACGTAAAAACCTTGGTGCATTTCATTAAACAATAGGGGATTATATACAAGTATAATTGGGTTATACAACTGGGCCTATCATCTATATACAAATATATGGGCTAACACTCCCCCTCAAGTTGGAGCATAAATATCAAAAATGCCCAACTTGGATAAGAGAGACTGGAAAAGAGGACCCGATAAAGCTTTTGTGAATATATCTGCTGTTTGGAGACGTGTAGGCACATAAGCAGTAACAATGTGATTGCGCTGAAGACACTCGTGTACGATGTGACAATCAATATCAATATGCTTTGACCGTTCATGAAAGACTGGATTGGCAGCAATGAACAGAGCAGATTTGTTATCACAATATAGTTTCGGAGTTGCAA